TTTTAAACCCTAGTAACCTGTTTTTACCCATTTTTGCAGTTTATAAGTTAAAGTTTATTTTAATTTTAGCACTGCTATGACTAAACAATTAGGTATCATGCAGTGGAACTGTCGCGGCCTTCTTCGTAATATTGATGACGTTAATTGTTTTCTCGATGAGCTTCGTTCTGTGGCACTCTGTTTGCAGGAAACCCATCTCTCCGACAAACACACACAGGTCTTACGCCGGCACCAGGTTTTTAGGAAGGATCGCCTTTCTCCTAGCCCTTCTGGTGGTGTCGCAGTTGTAGTGCAGAGCGGGGTCGTGTGTGCTCAGGTTCCTCTACAAACACCACTCGAGGCAGTAGCAGTTCGCGTTCTCCTTGACCGACTCATCACCCTCGTCTCTCTCTACCTGCCACCCAACGTTCCACTGCAGCTCCACGAGCTACAAGGACTCATAGATCAGCTGCCTAAGCCTTTTTTAATTCTAGGTGATTTTAACGCCCACCACCCTCTGTGGGGTAGTGTTCGTCAGGATTCCCGTGGTGGAGTTTTAGAACGACTTTTATTATCCTCCGGGCTCTGTCTTCTGAATAAAAAGGAGCCAACGTTTTTTAGTGCTGCTCATAACACCTTTACATCGATAGACCTTTCCATATCATCATCAGCTCTACTTCCATGCTTTTCATGGAAGGTTTTAGATAATCCATTTGGCAGCGATCATTTCCCCATAATTTTAGAAAGTTCAATACCCCTTCCTTCGCTTTCGACCCGCCTCCCAAAGTGGAAATTAGAGAAGGCTGACTGGGCTCTTTTTGGTTTAAATGCCGTACTGGATCCATCGCTTTTTCGCAGTATGTCCCCCGAGGAGGCGACGGTGTTTGTCACTGAATGTCTAATTAATGCCGCTGCATCTTCTATTCCGCAAACATCCGGCGTCCTGCCCCGGAGATGCAAACCTTGGTGGAATGAGGACTGCACAGTCACTCGCAGGAAACAGAACCAGGCATGGGGTATATTTCGCCGTTATCCCACTGCTTTGAACCTGATTGAATTTAAAAAAATGTAGGGCCAAGGCACGTTGGACACGGAAACAGGCAAAGAGGACATCATGGGAAAAATATATATCTTCTCTAAATAGCTTTGTCCCACCTAAAGAAGTTTGGGATCGCCTGCGGAAAGTTCGAGGAGATTACCAATCTTTCCGAACTCCTCTGTTTTCTTGCCCCTCTATATCGCTGAAAGATCAAGCAAATGTTCTTGGGGAGCATTTCCATCTTATTAGTAGCTCCTCTAATTTTAGCGAAAAATTCAAGAAGTTCCAGTCGACTGTTGAAAAGCAGCCCATCTCGACGTTGGAGGGTGGTTAATTTTTTTACAATAGACCATTTACAATGTGTAAACTCAAAGTCGCTCTTGGTGCAAAGAAGCAGTCTGCACCAGGGCCAGACAGACTCCGCTATGAAATGTTGAGGAAACTGTCCCCTGAATCTATGAACGGTCTGTTAACTTTCTTTAATCATCTATGGCAAGCTGCTGCCTTTCCTCGTTGCTGGAAACATGCCCACATAATCCCTTTTTTGAAACCTGGGAAAGACCCTTCCATTCCTACGAGCTATCGTCCCATCGCACTCACAAGTTGCTTAGGGAAGACTTATGAGCGGCTTGTGAATCGTCGTCTTGTCCATTTCTTAGAGACTGAGAATTTTTTTTATGTAAACCAGTGCGGCTTTCGGGAGGGACGAGCGACCACCGATCATTTGGTTCGCCTAGAGACCGCTATACGTGAGGCATTTGTACACCGGCAGCATTGTGTCTCGGTGTTTTTTTGATTTACACAAAGCATATGATACCACATGGAGGTATGGAATACTTCGTGACTTGTACAACTGTGGTGTACGGGGCCGCATGCTTCAGTGCATACAGAGCTTTCTCAGCGAAAGAACCTTTCAAGTCCGATTGGGCTCCACACTTTCAGATGTTTTTTCTCAAGAAAATGGTGTTCCTCAAGGAGGAGTGTTGAGCGTTACCCTCTTTGCTGTAAAGATTAACAGTCTAGCTAAGGTTATGCCATCATCAGTAACTTACTCTCTATATGTGGATGATGTGCAAATCTCTGTGTCTTCCTGTAACCTCTCCAGTTGTGAACGACAGTTGCAGCTTACAATCAATAGAATGTGTAAGTGGGCAGACGAAAACGGCTTCAAATTTTCTCCTGAAAAAACAGTCTGTGTTCCTTTTTCATTACGCCGGGGATTGTCTCTTGATCCTTCCTTGCATCTTAATAGCATTGAGATATCAGTCCAGCAAGAACACAAATTTTTGGGTGTTATTTTTGACAAGAAACTTACCTTTGTACCCCATCTGAAGAATTTGAAACGGAAATGCTTAATGTCATCAAGCATCCTAAAAGTGCTATCGCATATGTCGTGGGGTGCTGATAGGCGCTGTCTTCTACGACTGTATAACTCCTTAGTTCGATCCCGCCTCGACTATGGTGCAGTAGTATATGGGTCAGCGCGGCCATCCGCTTTTAAGATGCTTGACCCAGTACACCACCTTGGACTACGACTTTCTACAGGTGCATTTCGCATATCTCCCGTGAAGAGTTTGTATGCTGATACGCATCAAATGTCCCTCGAGAAACGGAGGCAGTACCTCAGCGTCTCTTATGCTTACAAAGTATTTTCAAATCCAAAGCATCCCTCCTACAGTGCCCTTCATGCTTGCAGAAGTTCACTGCTTTTCGAAAACAAGCCGAGCATTGTTAGACCATTAAGCCTCCGTTTGCAAAGTACTTGTAAATCCCTTAATATCCCCCTCCATGAGATTCCCTTGCTTAAAAACACTCATAGGGTTGCTCCATGGGATGTTCTGCCGATTTTCTGTGACTGGTCACTTGCAAAATACAGTGAGAGGGTCATTTCACCACAAATCCTCCGGCAGGAGTTCCTCTCCTTGCAACAAAAGTATGCAGACTACCTGGAGTTTTATACAGATGGGTCCAAATCGTCGTCTTTTGTAGGGTGTGCTTTCTATTCTGCCTCCTACAGCAAAGCCACAGAAGTTGACTCTAGGGCAAGCATTTTCACTGCAGAGCTTTATGCTATTTTACTAGCGGTCGAACATATACTCGACAATAGTATTATGAAAGCTGTAATTTTTGTCGACTCACAAAGTGCCTTATTGGCTGTGTCCTCCCTGATGCCCACAAAGAACCGCCTTGCACAACATCTACATGGTAAGATCAATAGCGCCCTGCGACGCGGTCGGGACATTAAGTTCTGCTGGGTGCCAAGCCACGTTGGGATTTTGGGCAATGAAGAGGCGGATAAATTGGCCGTGTCTGCCCAAGGCTCGTCTATAACATTCAATTGCTTACCTTACCAAGACTTGAAACCACTTCTGAGGAAATCTATTTTTCTCAAATGGCAGCAGGAATGGGATACAGAGAGCAACAACAAACTTCACATTATCAAGCCCGTTCTGGGCGTTTGGGAGAGCTCTTACAACAGGGAACGTCGTGTGGAGGTTCTTCTATGCCGTCTAAGAATAGGTCACTCCCGTGTGACACATCAGTATCTGCTTCGTGGTGAGGATGTTGCACTATGTGAACATTGTGGAGAGCTTCTGACCGTGTTGCACATTTTGTGGCATTGTTCGTCCCACCAACCACTCCGTCAATCATGTTTTCTCGAACTTTTTAGGGATCATCTCCCATTTCATCCCTCTTTTTTGCTTGGTGATAAACCTTTAGTTCCACTCAGCCGTATCTTAGACTTTTTAAAACAAACTGGATATTTATACCATTTGTGAATATATAGCCTCAAAGTAAACTTTTGTTATAATATGCTCTAAATACGTTAAGTTTGGCGCATTATGGCCCTCGTTGCTGCTGCGCCAATAAACTCCTAATCATCATCATCATCATCCCCTGCTGCAGGATTATTTTCGTCAACGTGTACCAAGTGCTTGTTTACGCAGGACGTCGATCTTTTTACCCACCGACCACCGCAGCGCCAGAGGAAGAAAGAGAGAGGGCGCGCTTGGTTGTTTGTAAACATGAGTTGGTGTATAGGCTTATTCAATGAATCAGACTGCACAGTTTTGTATGCATTCTAGGTTATCAGAGGTAAGCTTGTGACAGAGCCAGACAGATTATGTGAGGCGGTCGAACAAACATGTATGCAAGTTTATGTAAATGCAACTTCGATTCGGGATTACAACTGTTCTTAGTGCAGTCAGCGTCCTTGATCTAGAAGGTGCAACTTTGGTCACGGTATTGTAAGTAGTTTTAAAGATATCCTGCCGCAAAAGGTTTGTTTTGGGCTTGGTCGACCCAACAGTCTACCGGCTCATGAGCAAGGGCAACAGTGAAAACCAGCCGGAAGGACGACATGGTCCCGAACGCGTCGCGCTAGCAATTTTAAGACAGGGGAAGGATTACGACGTCTTGGCTGTATTGCTTCACCGATTGGTAACTTTGCTGGCATCCTGCCAATGAGCAGCTGGTTGAATTTTTAATGTCGGTATTAGTTGGGAATGCGACGCCCCCACGGTGTAATATTCCGTTCCACTAAAGCGATGCCTGTAATTAATTTCCTTTGGAACTTTGGCTAGAGCTGCCCTTAAAGTGAATGAGCTCCTTAAGAAACACTGGGTCGTCCTGCACTGTTGTTAATGAAGACCATGAGGCAGTGCAGTCTCTCATTTAATTATCTTTATATTTTAGGATGTTCTTGATAATAGCAGCACACTTACCATGTCACCCACATTTGGTGCTTGGGGAGGTTCAGCTGCCAGGTTATCAACAGCTGCCAGATCAGGGAGGGCCGCCGGTGTCACTAGTGCCGTCGGTGCCATAAGGGCCGCCGTTGCCAGGGGGGACGCCGGTGCCAGGGGGGACGCGCGGTGCCAGGGGGGACGCCGGTGCCAGGGGGGACGCGCGGTGCCAGGGGGGACGCGCGTTGCCAGGGGGGCCGCCAATGCCAGAGAGGGCGCCACGCAGAGGCCGAGGTTCTGCGTGCAGTGCGAGCAGTATGTGTGTTTCTGTTCGCCTCCCATTGCACTCACAGCTTCAATTTTGTGCTCCATCTAGACAGGAGAGCATGTGGTCAGAAAAAGAAAACTAGGAAATCCAGCCTCAGGATTCTGGTAGTGTGGCCCTCCTGACTCTCACTACACGCTTTGAAGCTCTGACACGTCCGCTTGTATACACAATAGAGCTTCCCGTCAGATTTCTAGTCAAACACGGCTGTGGTATACCACTGTAGTGATAACCACGTACAGTCATGATAAATTGAAATACGAACAAGGGGGTGAGTGATTTTTGCTAAATCCCAGCACCCGGGTGGTGTCCAGACGGACCGTTCATGAACTGATCGATGGTTGAGGCATATCTGAGTCTGACAAATATCCTCGCATTCCTTGTTTGCCAGCAGGAAGCGCCCTAGATAGCAAAAACCACGCACCCCTTTGTTCATATTTCAATTTATCATGATTGTACATGCGTTAGAATGTTCTGCCCAAGGGTTTGTAATCTTTGCAGGGACTGCAACACAGTCAACAGAGAGCAAGGGAAGCAGCACAGCAGAAATCCAAGATGAAAATAGGATTCCGCCATCAAATGGTATGAGAACACTACGCATTTGAACATAATTAGGCTCTGAACGAGAATTCCTCTCGCAAGACACTCAAACCTTTTTTTTTTAATCTATAGTTGGTGACAATTGAAGAAAACATACTGGCAAATGTCTTTTGTAAAGGAACAGGTATTCCTCCACCAGCCAATCGGGTCCACATGTTTTTGTGCTGTCATGATATTACGAACCCAGTGTTTTCTCGAACGAATGTTTTCAACACGGCAGCCTGGACATACCAATGAGACGCCAACTTCTTGCTGTGATGATAGTCATGATAAATTGATGATAGTCATGATAAATTCATGATGATAGTCATGGTAAATTGATGATAGTCATGATAATTTGAAAAGTTTGTATTTCAATTGATCATGACTGTGCTCTTTGCGTATTTCACATACCTCAGTTGGCACTTCAAACTGTTGGGGTTGCCTTATAGATCACGGTATTCACCGACCCTGGAAGCCACGCTGAGCATGTTAAAACCTAAATTGTTACATCATATTGGGAGTATTCACCGGCCACCATTGTTGTGCGCACCGCTGTTGAGCGCGTGCGCACTGCCAGCTCTCACCAAGTACCCTTTTGCACTGTCAAAACTGTCTTTTTTGATTGACCATAAGTTCCTTTACCTACAGCTCATGCAGATGAAAATGAATACTTCCTATGCAGGGCTTGACCAATTTTCTAGTTATTGCACTGCAATAATGGCTGCAGACTAGACATGCCAAGCTGCTACTCTGGTTGGCGATATAGGTCTCAAGTGCTTCAATAAAAACTCACACAAAATGTTAGGGAACTCTATTAACTATTTCCACCTCCTTTGGTTTCTTCTCTCTTGAACAGCACCATGGGGCCAAGGAGAGACGAAGTTGCTCCTCAACAGCTACTTCCAATACTCAAGACAGGTTGGACCTATGAAAAGGTTCAGGAGTAAAAGAGCGATGTATGAGCAGATTGCCAAAGATATTTTCAAAGTGTTGCAGATCACACGCACAGGCGCCCAATGTGAGACCCGTTTCAAGACGCTAGCAAAACGCAGGGAGGACAACCACAACGGAACGTCGGGCAATTCACGCTGCCAAACGTCATATGAGGAATAGTTCAATGCCATTAGGGCCATTGACGACAGCCTTGAGCCTGAAGTGTTACGAAGCGTCAGCCAAGTGACCTACAAAGACTCGACACTGGATAGGTCGTCAGCAGGACCTTCTAGCGCTGCACAAGACGGCAACATCGACAACTCCGAAGGCAGTGAACAAAACAACGCATCAACAAGAGCCCCAGGAGGGGAAAGCCGATGCAAGAAGCGGAAAGCGGACAGAGGAATCCGACCAACCAACGGCCGCATGCAGCACATGGTGTTCTTTTTCAAGCAAATGAAAGCACTGAATGATGCGAAAGAACGTAAAAAAGAAGAACGCGAGAAACGAAAAGAGGAGCGGCACCAAGAGCTGCTGCAGGCGCACAAGGCGCAGATGCAGACCCTGAGAGACCTCGCTAACAAGCAATAGGTTGCCTAAATAAGGTGCATCATAACTGTTTATTACGATAAATTATGGAAATGTGCAATAAATCATGGTAAACCCAGAAACACTGTCCTGCGTTGATGTCCATTTGCATGGCTGTCGGGCAGCTTTTTGAAACTGTGCAACACCTCAAAACAGCTGTGCTATGGTGTTCCTCTTTGCTTCGCCGAGCTGGCGAAGTACGTTGTCACGTGCAGTCCGTGGCTGCCGAACTGCCTCCAGCTCCGCTCGACTTTTCCTGGCATGAAGGGCAATGTCTTCCCTTCGTTCTCTCCTCTTTTCATCAGTCAGGATGTCTTCAACACTCATGTCACCAGCATCCATGCAAATGTTGTGTGAGACACAGCACCATATGATGAGCTGGGTAATCTTGTCGACTGTCGTGAATTCCACATACCGCAGCTGCCGAAACCTCTGCTTCATCATACCAAAAGTATTTTCGATCACAACCCTTGTTGAAGCATGTCTTTGGTTGTATTCGACTTTAGCTTTCGTCATGGTTCCGTAATTTTTGAAGGGTGTCAGCAAGTGCTCTCTGATGGGGTAAGCTGCATCTCCTAACAGGTGGTATTTGTTAACTGCACAAATGGTGGGCAAATCCTGCTGCACGACTGACAGCCTGAGGACACGAGCATCATGCACTTTGCTGGGTGGTCCTGTAAATACATCCTGAAACCTCCCCTTCGCGTCGCGTATCCCTTGCATCGTGATGGAGACTTGATCATGCCTGTTTATGTAGGTTGATCTTGTCTTGCTATTTGGACATCGTGTGGGTATGTAGGTGCCGTCGATGCATCCAATCACGTTCGGGAAGCCTGCACGCTGGAAAAAAGAAGAAAGGCTGTTAAAGCTGTACATAAAGTACATAAACAATATTTAGCACTTATTCTATAGTTTTATGTGTTGCTTGCTGTGGCAGCAATACCACTGACACCCATTTTTTGTTCAGAGGGTCTTAAAAGCTTCATCTAAAACGAATAAACTGACTACCAGATTGCAGCGGGGAGATGTTCCGAAAGCTACTTTAGACGTCGTTAAGTCGAACCACGCGAAAGCAGCACTGCTCATCCAAAATACAGTGAGAAGCTACGCGCGCACACTCCTGTCAAATCTGGCCAAACTGAATGCTCAAGTTTCACCTCTTTTCCGCACCTATTCAACCCCTGCGTAAAGACAGGGTGAGATAGAGAAGAGCAAGAACGAGTCAATTGCCTTCGTCGATGTTGCCTAACCAGTCCTCAGTCATGTTGAGGTTCCAAAGTGATGACACCACCAAGTGGCGAAGCTCAAGACGCCAGCCCCCCATAGCTCGCCCCTTCTGGCGAAGTTACAAATTACAATTGCCCTGGAACTCCTATGACACATAGCACGCTCGGCCGGCTGTATTTTGAACACTCACTAGTATAAGCCGTTTGGAACGAAAGATGTGGGCATCATTCAGAATGCCAACATACGCTTGTCACCTACAGCAAATGCATTCGCCCCCTATAAGATGCAATGGTGTACGAGTAAGCTTACTTTTTTTAAGCCGTTGGCCAGGGCACCTTTGTCAGCAGCAAAGCATATTATGGCTAGAGCAATGCTGCAGAGAAAATTCAGCACCCTGTCTATCACGGCCAACATTGAGTCTGCCATGTTGAAGAGCAAAGCACACTCCCGCATCGAGGACTTGTTGGCCACGTACCTAAAAAGATGTAGTGGTGCCACATTGAGCTGTAACCTAAAAGATAATCTTTTATTTCATAAGGTTAAGGTTCTCTCTGCCCGGTTAGAAGAAGCATAAGAAGAAAATCATCATGAGTTCAGCAAACATTGTCCTGCTTCGAGACCAGGCTGTTTCCTTGTTCATAGGTGAATGCAACAACAAGGATACATGTCGCTTCTATGGATACCAGTGACGCATGTTTTTACTGACACTCACTTTTAAACATGGGCCCAAACTAGCCTTGAAGCTCCGAGACACTGCTTCAGTAACCTATGGTTAGGGTTGGCGATTTCCTTCTTGTGCTTTCGCAAATAATCCAGGAAGGTTTCGCAGCTGCCACTTTCATTGCAAAAATATCACAAGCGAGCGAATTAATAAATGATTTTGGGAGTTCATAATGCAGCGGCAATGAAGAGCGAGTTGTATTACCCAGGAAGCAGTAAATTCACCAAGACGGTTGTTAAATAAACTACCTCAGGACGTTAAAGCAGACCAAGTAGAGGACTATAGTTGGCGTCACCTTTTTCACAGTACATTAGCGACACTCTAATGCTGAGCTCTCCGAGGCTGAGTGTCCCTCGGCTGGACAGGCAACCGTTCAGTTGGACGGCAACTTACAGCTAGCTACTAGTGAGGGGCCCAACTTTTCCCGAATCTGAGATTCGGCAAAACCAAATTTTTGCCAAACTTTTAAAAAATTCGGTATACAAGTTAGCCTAGGCACAAAGTGGCCAGACCAGCTAGCCAATTGATCTCTCTTATTTTCTCGGTGAGAAAAAAGGTATGAAAGCTTCTGAAAAGTTACTTTTCGACGTATTTAGTATTAACACAATTACGGCTGAGTAAAAGGGCTGTTTAACAAAATTTGTGTATCCTCGTCCGCAGAGGCTCTCTGGTTTGCGAATATGGGCATACGCAGAGGCCTGCCGAATCTCTTCTAAATCTTATCCGAAGTTTAGGTCACAAGTTCGGTGCGTACCAAACTTTGCCGAATCCTAACTTTGCCCGGTTCGGCCCGTCACTACTAGCTACCCAGCCGAAGTTGATGGAGAGTATAGCTTTCTCTCAACTTGCATGCTCAGCATGTGATGAACAGCTGTTTATGAGCATAATATGCAATATTTCGCATATGCTATACTCGGCATTGATGCCACGTTATGGAGGTTAGCGTAGCTTCCACAGTACTGCACCCTACTGCTTTGGTAGCACGTGCACGTGACTTTCTTCGGCCTTCACGCAAGCTCGAGAAGGTATAGCTTTGACGTTAGATCACTGAAATCTATACGTTACCACTGACAGCATAGCATAAAAAAAATCTGCCTCTCGTACACAATTTACACATGCAGCAGTGTTGCTGCTAAACGCCGGATAAAAGCAAAGACGGCTCACCAGAGGAATGTGTGACAAGTCAGTGGCGCCCCCCTCCAGTCCGCCCGTCTGCGGCCGCCAGGCTCGGCGGGCAACATTGTTCACCGCGCTAATAAACGCCGTTGAGCGCACGCGCTCCGGTGAGTCATCGTCCACCCTCACAACCAGGCTGCGTGTCGTCTCTCCTCGGCGGGTGCTTCGGCCCCCTTCGTCCACGTTCGAGAAAGATTGTGACACTGGCGACGAGGAACCGTGGCACTGGAGGCCACCAACGTGCACGGTTCGGCCCACGCCGCCGAGAGAGTCGGAACACCGCCCTTCGCTCCTGTCGCCATGCCGCTGTACGGGAGGCTCGAGCCGTTCGAGGGAGATGGGTCCGCTTGGCCAGTCTACGAAGAACAAGTCCACGTGTTCTTCCGGGCGAACGACACGCCGGAGGCGAAACAATGGGACATCTTGGCCATCTGCGGGACCTCTTCAGGGGCATGAGGCACGTGGCGGTGTACTTGGACGACATCCTGGTTTCCGGTACCGACGACGGGGACCACCTGCAGAACCTGCGCAAGGTCCTGACACGACTACAGGACGCCGGTCTCAAGCTAAGGCTGGACAAGTGCTTGTTCCTGACCCCCAGCGTGGAGTACCTGGGACACATCATCTCCCAGGCTGGCCTGGCCCCGGCTCCCCGCAAGATTGAGGCCGTGCTCAAGGCGCCGAAGCCCAAGAGCAAGAAGGAGCTTCAGAGCTACCTCGGCCTCGTCAACTTCTACAGGAGGTTCCTGCCCAACCTGTCGACGCATCTGGAGCCGCTGCATCGCCTGCTTCGTGACGGTCAGCAGTGGGCCTGGAAGAAGGAGCAGGACTTGGCCTTCCAGCACAGCAAGGAGTTAGTCGTCAAGGCTCCGGTGCTGGTGCACTTCGATCCGTCCAAGCCTGTAGTCCTCACCGTGGATGCGTCGCCGTACGGGGTAGGAGCCGTCCTGTCGCACCGGGGTCAGGATGGTCAGGAACGCCCTGTGGCGTTTGCTTCTCGTCGACTATATGCGGCAGAGCAACGCTTGGTCCACAAAGACTGCGGACCAAGGTTCTGCAGTTGCTGCACGCGGGGCATCCTGGCATTGAAAAGACCAAAATGGTGGCACGGTCGCACGTTTGGTGGCCTGGCTTGGACCGGGATATCGTGCACCAGGTGCAAAGCTGCCAGGTCTGCCAGGAGAACCAGCGAGCCTCGCGCCAGGTGGAGATCATTCCTGGCCGTTCCCACAGAGGCCGTGGTCCCGCTTGCACGTGGACTATGCGGGACCCTTCAAGGGCCACTACTTCCTGGTGGTAGTGGACGCCTTCTCCAAGTGGGTGGAGGCACTGCCAGTCACCAGTCCCTCGACAAGCGCGACCATCGCGGCGCTGCGGCAATCTTCGCGGCGCAGGGATTGCCGGATATTATCGTGTCGGACAATGGTCCCGCTTTCGCCAGCGCCGAGTGCATGGACTGGCTACAGAGGAATGGAATCTGCCGGATGCTGGTTCCGCCGTACCACCCCGCTTCCAATGGTGCAGCAGAGCGGGTGGAACAGACCATCAAGGACAAGCTCAAGAAGAACCAGCCCGGGGATTTCCGGACGCATGTGGCCCGGGTACTGTTCCAGTACCGGACCACACCCCATGAGGTCCCTGGCCCTGCGAGCTTCTGCTGGGCCGGATAATCAAGACCCATTTGGACGTCTTGCATCCAGACCTCCGGTCCACGGCGCTCCTGAAGCAGCTGAAGCAGAAGCTGGCTGCTGACCGAGGGTGCCGTTCCGGGCCTTTGCCGGAGCCGGGAGCGTCTGTCTATGCGAGGAACTTCCGTCCTGGCCCACCCTGGTCTGCCGGGCGTGTGGTTTCACCAGCGAGTGCCTCATCGCTGCTCGTCCGCATGCCCGACGGGACCACCTGGCACCGGCACGCCGACCATGTCAGGCCTCGCTCCGGGACCTGGCTTGCACCCTCGGCCGTCGCTTCAGAGGACCAGCCTGCAGGGGGCCTAACAGCACCAGTCGTGGCCAGCGGAGCACCACCCACCCCGGAGGCGACAAGCGTCGCCACTCCTGTGGCACCAGTTGCACCGGTGCCACTCACAAATCCGGTCCCTGCAGCTCCACCGGGTAGAGCGCGACCAATGCAGGCAGCGCCCGGCGTTGCCACACCTGGCCCGTCGACACCAGTGCCCAGGCGGAGTGCACGGCAGCGGAGGCCACCTGACCGCTACTCGCCAGGGTGACCTTCATTGTCGACAGGCCGGGACTTTGCATGACCAGACGCCGAGATGGTGTCGGCCGTGTGCATTGTATTTAGTTTTGTTTTAGAACAAACAAACTGGGGGGAGGAGTGTGACAGGTTAGTGGCGTCCTCCTCCAGTCCGCCCGTCTGCGGCCGCCAGGCTCGGCGGGCAACATTGTTCACCGCGCTAATAAAAGCCGTTGAGCGCACGCGCTCCGGTCAGTCATCGTCCACCCTCACAACCTGGCTGCGTGTCGTCTCTTCTAGGCGGGTGCTTCGGCCCCCTTCGTCCACGTTCGACAAAGATTGTGACAGAATGAAAGGATGTGCTCTTCTGCTGTCTTGGTGGGCGATCCGCCGTGGTGAGATGTCGATGAAAAAAAGCTCGAGCCCTCAAACTGGTCGATAAGGTCGTAGCAGGGCACCCGTGCCAGACGAAAGTTCCTGCGGAACTATCAAACAAAATAACATTACAACTAGCTAACTTACTAGTACCTTGCTTCTTACCTCATTGTCGGAGTAGGCGTTCACTACTGTCAAAACATATTCCTTGACTTTTGGTACTGCGCACGGCGCATCGAACAACTCTCGAAACATCGCCTCGTAGGCGGGACCGTCGTCGTCGTCCTCCGAGCTGCTGCTGTCGTCTGCTAAATGGAACAGCAGCACTGACGGTGTCCCCGCCAACGCTAAACACATGCGTTTAGCCATGTTGCGAAACTCGAACACAGCGTCCAAGTTCCAACGATAAGCAGCCAAGGAGGAAGCTGCTGGGTGCTGGGTCTCTCGGCGGCCGTGTCGGGTTTTCTTCCAGCCCAACAAAAATGGTTGGGATCACGTGACCGGCCCTCTGGCGCGAGCTCCCACTAGACAGTCGGAGCGCCTCAAACCGCTTTGAGTCGGAGGACGACCTGATCGGATTCTCCGAGCGCGCTCTGAAAGAACAAGCCGAATGTACTTAGAGCGCCCGACTTCAACCAGCCGAATGGGCATCGGCTTTTCAGAGCGCTGCAGAGCACTACAAATCAACCAGCCGAATATACCATAAGCTCCAGGATTTCTAGCAGGTGCGGATGACTTGCAAATGCCTGCTTCTTCTCCATTTCCTTTTGAAATTGACCGCAGGTGTTATTCATCTGCCTCATAGATTCACTTTCAACATTATAGATACGATTACCTTTTGCGACTTGGAATTTTCTTTTTCCGATACTGAAGAGTTTTCCGAGCTGTTAATGACTCTTCGCGCTCTCAGCCTTTCATTGCACAGCTTTGACCTCACATCTTCAGAGACTAAGTATCAGGAAAGGAAGTTTGTAAGACACAAGACAGTTTCCCGATTCCTTTACAGGACATGACGAGCAGGCCAACTGATCAATGACTCCACAAAAAGCTATTTGAAAGCCTGAGAAATGGTGGCAAGCCTTGAATGAGTACTCATTCCTCACCAGCCTCTTTCCCTACACAACTGTTATCGAAATGCATAGTCTTTCTGGATGCGCCACAAACACGCTTCCGGCAGGGTGCACCTATGAAAGCAGGTGTTTGGAAAGTGGTCTCTCCACGGACCCCGAGCACCGCAGGGGCCACCTGCACCTTACGTACTAGGTGCTTGGTGAGTAGCCTCACCACGGACTCGTGCCGCGTGGGCCACCATACCCGCATGCAGGGGGCACCTACTTTAGTAGGTGCTCGGTGAGTGGCGTCACAACGAACCCCAAGCCAAGGGGGTTCGCCCACCCATGACTGGCTGCGCGTGGCTTAAGAGGATATCGCAGTGGAATTTCATCTCCGATGGAATCTTTTCTAGAATCCAGATGTCACTGGGGAGGAAGCCTTGCCGCTCACCAGCTTACGCGATATAGTGCTATTTCCAAACAAAAATAAAGAAAATTCTCATCTTTTTGCTTCGTTTATCAGCGGACGGCTTGACCCTGAAAGCCCCACACTTAACCCGCTCATCCCGTCACACCGCACTGCGAGCTGCGAGAACGGCTTTGTTTTTTGTTTTGCAGTTCATAAGGAGGATAGCAGGGAGAGTTGTGAGCCTTCAAGGCCATCCCGGAGGCCATTTGTCCCATTCTTACTGGACTAGGAAGAAGAAAAAATGCGGTTAGACCATTGCCTCATATTGCTGCCCGGTTTTACTTCGGAAAAAAAGATCTGGCTGGGTTTAGGGCAATTTCGTTTTCCGAGATTTTTCGTACGATACAATTTGCAAATAGCATGTAGATCGTCGATATCGTCAATGCAACAACAAAATATGCCATAAATTTCTTTCATTACGTTGTGTCATAATGTTGCGAAATAATCTACCACAAGTGGGAATGGCATTGCATCCTAAATAGGGGCCCCTCAGAGCCTGCATTTCATTCCAACGAAGCAGTGCTTTGAAGAATAAAGCTACTCTAAAAAGTGTCTATTACTCCGTGCAAAAAAAAGAAACGAAATTAACCAGTTCGTTCAACGGTCACCCTGATATTTAAATGGGTGTGTGATTTCTAAATATCACGGAAGCAGAACTATATGTTTCGCTGCTGAAATGTCAAAAACAATTTCCGCAAGTTTAATAGTGTTGCGTCTTATATTGCCACGCGCGTCGCTGAGCGAGCCCGTATGTGACCGAATGATAATAAAGAAAAAATATGCGGCGAATGGTTACCGTACTTGGTTGTCACGCGGAAGATGTGGGTTCGATTCCAGACAGCGGAATGTTCTTTTATTTATTTTTTTTACTTGGCGTTCTCACAAATTCTAAAAGTTTCTGTCTGATAGAGTTTCGAATGTTCTACATGCCGGACGTTCTAGGCCGAATGTTCCAGAGACCCACGCGGCTACAAAAGGTGCTCCGCGTGGCAAGTCGCAGGCAGTCTCGCCCCAGCGTTCGATCCTGCTGCTACGCTGCCATCGACGTCCGCGACGCTCTAGTTTTATCTATCTTCTGATTTCTTTTTGTTTTCGGCAGAAGTTCGCCCCACTAAACATTTAGTTTGTTTCAGCTTTTGTCGCTTCATTAATTGTCATTCGTGACATTTTGGTGGAGGCGTGGTGTATAGTTTTATATGGCCGTGAAGCGTACCCCTCTGAAGACATCCCGGCGAAGTGGGGTGCTCAGGCCAGGAAGGCTACCCTTCGCAGAAAACGCCGACGCCAGACGCCAGAACAAGCCGCTGTACCAAATTCCAATCCCCGGATTGTGGGCCCCAGTCGAAGAAACCAAAGAAGACCGTGGCGATGACCACACCACCCGTCGTTGTCTTACCTGTCCCTGCTCGTGCGCCCGCGTCCTTCTATGATGAGCCCTATGAAGACGTCGAGGACTGCATTGCTACAGCAGTACGAGCGAGTGGCCCAGCACAACCGATAGACCGAAGAACTGCGCCTAGAAAGTCTACTTGGTGCTCGAAGGAACGACCAGGCTCTGGTTAGAAAATCGTGAAACTTCCTTGACCTCGTGGACCGCCTGCAAGGATGAGCTGAGACAGACTTTCATCTACCAATATCGACGGGAGAGGGCCAAGGACCTTCGAATGAGATAACAGGGCGCAAATGGTACAATCGCCAGTTTCGTCGAAGGTGTTCTGCACCTGGTCGCTCGCGCCAACCCTCAAGCCACCGACGAAAAGAAGCTGTGGATCCTGATGCAAGGTGTAAAGGATGACATCTTCGGAGGCCTCGTCCGCAACCCGCCGATCACCGTCGAAGCTTTCGTCACAAAGTCAACCAACATCGAGCGCGTCCATCAAGCGCGCGTTTCCCACTACCAACGACATCCATGCGTCGCTGCATCCACCCTGTTTAGCGGCGAAACCTCCCCTGTAACCGCGGACATCCGTGACATTATCCGGGATGTCGTCCGGAAGGAACTCAGCAGGTTGCTGCCAGCCTCGAGTGCTCCAGCGACACTCTCCATCGCAGAGTTTGTGCGCGAGAAAGTCAAAGAACCGACGTCGAGCTACGCCGCCATAACCCGACGGCCGCCGCAAGCTCCCCGCCAGGCCCCGGCGGGGAGCTTGCGGCGGTCGTCGGGATGGGGCCCAGCGCCACCCTGAAGAGACGCCTCAATGTCGCGGTATCCTCAGCGTCGGGAAGAACAAGCCCGGTACGTCTGCCCGGAGCGACCCTCGACGAGGAAGTCCGACGTGTGGCGAACGGCCGGCCGACGCCCGCTCTGCGACCACTGCGGAGAAGCCGATCATATCTGCCGCGCCTGCCACTACCGTCGACTTGGGCTGCGTGGTTTCCACCTGAGCGACCCACGCCCGAGGTATGGCGAACGCCCTTGCGGCATCGAGGAGTACCTCCAACGCTTGCCCTCCTCAGTGCCGTCTCTCCGCCCTGAATCTCGGCCTTCAGCGTCTCCAGCGCCACGACCCCGCCGAGACAGCCTGTCTCTCCTGCGTAGCTGGAAAAACTAAGTGCGGCGACTCCTGGAAGTGGCATTGCAGGAAGACGAAGTAAAGAGCCTTCGAGAACGCCGGAGCGATTCCACTCTGCTGACGCCACAAATCGTAACGATGCCCCTGCAACGGTGCCCAACAAATTAAAAGTTGTTATCGACGGCCCATGATGTATCTCCCCTCGTAGACACCGGAGCAGACTAAGTCTTAAGTGGGAGCCCAGGTGAAAATTTCCCAACTGGTATCCATCTGGTCCCAGTTCAACTGGTTTAAGGAACAATTCCCAATTGGACCCGCTGGACCAACTTGGACCAGCTGGCCCAGTTCAACCGGTCCCAGTTCAACTGGTTTAAAGAAAGATTCCCAGTTAAACCAGCTGGGATCTAACTGGGACCAGTTAGATCCCAGCTGCAACTAGGACCAGTTGAATCCTAGTGGCAGCTGCTTTGTTGTCGCTGGTCGTTTGACACTAGAAAATCCTCTGTGAACTAGTTCAAATAATGAAATGCGATGCAATTGCACTTTGTTTACAATTTATTCCAGGGAAGAGAGCTGCAGTAAGGATGCTCATTATATCCTTTGATAGGCCTCTTTGCGCCTCACTGATTTAATAGAATCTTGTATTTTTCGGACAAGATGTTTCAAAGGTTGGAGACCACTGCAGTGATGTCCACCTTCTTCACCCCTGCCCAATGGTGCAAGGTAGCTGCAAATGAATTGACCAAATATTATTTTTTGTTTCATTTTGTTCAGACTACGTACCCACCTTCATCAACATTGACCTTTTCCGGGGTCAATGCGGGTTTGGGCTGCTCCCCCGGGGCCCTTTTGTTGGGTGGCAACTGGCCTGACATACTTTGTACTGCCATCCCAGGTGTAGTCCAAATGGACTGGGCTGTCTCTTTCACGACGAGACGGCTTGGTGCGCGCCATCACTCGTTTCGCCTGGGTTGGCGTAAGCACTATCCCCTTCTGGAGGTGAAGCTGTCAGCAGATTGAACATAATTATGTAAAACAGTGCTACTAGGTGAGGTCAATAAGGAACATACACGACAGGAAAGGCGCTGACTAACAAGTATATAATTTACTAGGAGGGAATGAAGACAAAGTATACTTAAACTGTCACAAGTGTGTCTGCCAGTCTTTTATGATAACTGATCTAAAGTTCACACTGGCATGCACGAAACCTTCATTATCCCCTTTAGAAATTCCAACTTTCCATCTGACAATGTTTTGATGCATGGATCACACGGTCACTTCCACCGCTGTTGATGTGATAGGCTTGCATCTCTTCACAAGTTGTCAACTGTCCTT